GTGGCAGATGGAGGATGGCGAGGGACAGATGGGTGGAGGTGTGGCAGATGGAGGATGGGGAGGGACAGAAGGGTGGAGGAGTGGCAGATGGAGGAGGATGGCTGGAGGGACAAATGCTGGGTGATTGTTGGGGGGCAGGTGTGGGACGGGTGAGGGATGGGTGGAAGGAAAACAGCACATAGGTGTGGGCAGATGGCCAGAAGGATGAATAGTTCAGTGGCAGAGACCTAGGCCTGGTGACTTTCGTCTCCCCACTCACGGATGCGCTCGGTCCAGCACTGCTCCCCCGGCTGCGTGCAGTTCTCCACATTCAGGCAGTCCTCGTTGCTCACCTGGGCCTTGCAGGAGTAGCACAGCAGGGCAGTGCCTGTGGGGTGGAGTGGGAGGGGCCTCAGAGGCTGCCCCATAGCACTCCCCAGAAATGGTGGCTCCTGGGCAGGAGCCTGCCTGCCTCATCTTCTCTGCAGTGCAGAGGGCAGGGCAGAGAGCAAGATCCGGGCCCTTCCGGAGAGAGCACAGTCTGTGCTGGGACAGTCCTCTGCAGGGGCACGAACTTCTCCACACTCCCCCAGGACTGGCTTTTCTGCACGCCTCCTGCCACGGTGCCCGGCAGCTGCCATGTGTGCCCCAGCCCCCTGCTTGCGAGGGTAAAGCTTTGTTAAAATGCCCATGCTCTTGAGGGAGAAGGGGCTCGCCTCACCTGGCAGGGGCCCGGCTGGACACTTGGAGGCAGGGGATGGATGACGCTTTTCCAGGACTTCCTCAGGCCACCGCCATGGAGGCCCACTTGGCCTTGTCCCCAGCAGCCCGGCCTCTCAGCCCCTCTCAGGCCTCCCGCGTCAGGTCTCGCTCTGCCCCTGGGGTGGTGGCCCTGCTGCTAGGTGCTCATAGCCACTGTCTCCTCCTCCAAAACAACCCCACCTGCCTGTGCATTCAGGTGCCCAGCACTGTCCTCGGCCCCCCTCCTCACCCTCAATATCTCCTCCCCATCTTCAGGGCCCCCCCTCAGTGCCTCTGAAACGCTGCCCTGTTTAATCCCTCGGTGGCTGTTTTTGTGACCTCGCGTCCCAGAAGAAGAAGGTGCGGCTGTGGGGGTGACTGACCCAGGACCCTGGGTCGGGAGGGTCCTACCCCAAGCAGAGCAGCGCAGGCCAGCAGCTCCCTGGGACCCTCGGAAGCTGCAGTGCTGGGACTGGGCTGGATGTAGACCCCCCGGGTCCTCGCAGGACACCCCCAGCACCCCCACTCTTGTGCCCTCAAAAGCACTTCTTAGCTTGAGGCTTCCTGCCCTGTGCCTCCCGGCTCCTCATCAGCATCTCTGTCCATCCGTCCGTCAGTCTGTCTATCTGCCCCCTAGGAGCCAGGCCCTGCCCCACGGTCATGAAGGAGAGTGACTCCTTGCTGGCCCTGCAAGCCCTGGTCACAGGGGATGGCAGGGAACAGGTCGCTGCCTGGTCGTGCCAAGAGCTGCCTTGGAGGAATGGAGGCTAGGGCGAAAGCCTCATCCCTTTCCCCCTTCCTCCTTCCTCCTTCCCCCCTCTTCCCATGTGCCCTGCAGGTATCCCTCTGGCCTCCCAGGCTCACCCCTGCTCCCTTCCCTGCCGGGGGCCAGCCAGGGCCTCACCTGGCTGCAGGGCCAAGCCTGCCATCAACAGGGCAAGCAGCACAGCCTTCATGGTCACGGGTGGGCAGCGGTGGAGAGGGCCTTGAGTGGCTTTATATGACCGCAGCTGGGGAGAGGCTGGACTGCCCACAGTCAACACCAGCGGGTTTCCTGGAGCCAGTGAGGGCCCTGGGACTGGGCAGATCTGAGTCTCCTCCCTGAGCGACCTGCACCTCCCTCTCCCTTTGTCCTTCTTTCCACCTCTGAAGGACAGAGCCTGCCCGGGGCCATATCTCAGGCACCCCGGGCTGAGGGCTGAAACGTCCTCAGGCCCCAGATTATGCCTCTCCCACCTCCCCAACCTCACAGTGCAAGGCCAGACAAGGGAGACCCTTTCTCCAGACTCCTCCAGGCCTCGGCCTTCCAGCCAAGGACGAGGGCACCTCCCTGGGCCCTGTGCTCCTACAGAAGCTGTGCCGCCCTCCTGGGGCCCACGGCCCACGGCCCACGGGGTGATAAGTCTTGGTCACAGCGTCACTGACAGATCAGCAGCAGGTGCTGCAAAGGACAGGGGCAGGGGCTATTCTGGGTGTGAACCAAAAGTGACATTCTAAGGACCCCCAGCCATCTGAGTGGACCCCTCCTCTCGGCAAGGGCTTTCCGAAGCCCTTCTGGTTCAGGCCATGACAGCAAAGGGTTGGACAGCCTCATCATCCCTCCTCCCTTCAGAACTCAGGAAGAGCCAGCGTTAACATCAACACAGGCCTTCAGTCTGATGAGAAACATTTACCAGCTATTCTCTCTGAAGCTTGCTACCTGGAGGCTTCCTCTGATGATAAAGCCCTGGTCTCCACAACCCCGTATAACCCAGACATTCCTTTCTATTGATAACTCTTGCAACCAATTCCCAACCAGAAAATATTTAAATTCACCTATAACCTGGAAGCCCCCAGTTCCAGTTGCCCACCTTTTTGGACCAAACCAATGTATGTCTTCAATGTATTTGACTGATGTCTCATGTTTCCCTAAAACGGATAACATCAAGTTGTGCCCTGACCACTTTGGGCACATGTTCTCAGGGTCTCCTGGGGGCTGTGTCACAGGCCAGGGTCCCTCATATTTGGCTCAGAATAAATGTCTTCAAATATTTTACAGAGTTTGGCTCTTTGTTGACACAGGGGACAGCCTCCCTGGGGAGGAGACCCTGTTGGACAGGTCTTCATTTGTGGGGCATTCAGTGTGGGCTGGGCCTTGGGCTAAGAGCTTTACCCTCAGGACCGTGAGTGACCCTCAGCTTGGAACTTGAGCTGCAAGGGAGTCGGGAAGTGCAGCTTTTAGCAGCCTCTGCAATAGTGGGAGGCAGGGGCTAGGCCCAGGGCTGTATGGCCTCTGTCTGCCCCAGATCCCCTCTCCCTCCTGCTCCATGACCTGGGAGACTGGTCCAGCTCTCATGGGCAGGAGATGAGAGGGTGGAAGAGACAAGGTCAGGCCAGCTCTCCTGCCAGCTGGTTGGGTGGTGGCTGCAGTGCCTCTGGCCCTCTAGAGCAGGCCCAGGCTCTCCTGCCAGCTGTCTGGGCAGTGGTGGCCGTGGCTGTGGCCCTCTAGAGCAGGCCCAGGTTCTCCTGTCAGCCAGCTGGGTGGTGGTGGCCGTGGCTGTGGCCCTCTAGAGCAGGCCCAGGTTCTCCTGTCAGCCAGCTGGGTGGTGGTGGCCGTGGCTGTGGCCCTCTAGAGCAGGCCCAGGTTCTCCTGTCAGCCAGCTGGGTGGTGGTGGCCGTGGCTGTGGCCCTCTAGAGCAGGCCCAGGTTCTCCTGTCAGCCAGCTGGGTGGTGGTGGCCGTGGCTGTGGCCTTCTAGAGTAGGCCCACGTCCTGTCAGCCAGGCTTCTCTTGTCCCCAGGGCTCTGGCCAGCCTCTGGTCACTGTACTCTCCCCCTCATTCCTGCAAGCCCATGGGGGCGGTGGCTTCCTGCTGCTGCTGATTTTGAGGGGAACTGGTGGCCCTGCTGTCTCCTTCAACCTGTCCCCTGCCTTTGTACATGGGGCCTGAGTTAGATGACTCTGCCTGGCAACCCTCTTGGGTATACTGTTGTTCCTGCCGGATGCTGGTGGGTCCATTGTGGGCCGTGGCCCTGCCTGCTGCCAAGTGTGTGTCTGGAGGGAGGCAGGCCCCTTCTCCCCTGATGCTCTCCCATCCCTGTTGATGGGGTGTCTGGTGGGAAACAGGCCCCTTCTCCCCGGACGCTCTCCCGTCCCTGTTGATGGGGTGTCTGGTGGGAAACAGGCCCCTTCTCCCCGGACGCTCTCCCGTCCCAGCTCATGGTTGTCTGGCTTTCATTGTTTCCTCCTCTCCTCGATTTTGCCTCTGAAAAGGGCTCTGGCACATTTTAGGGGGTGGTGAGGATGTTGCGGGAGGAAGTCTCGGGGAATCGGCTCCTCTCCCAGCCCAGCAGGCCTGCACCATCCGGGAAGGCTGGCAGATTTTCTGGGGTGTTCGGGGGACATCAGCTTCCCACTGTCTCACCTTGAGTCTGGGATCAAGGTGACACTACTGGTGGGAGCAAGGATGGTGCGAGACCCAACCTCCCTGAGACTCAGCGGCACCAGGAATCTGCCTTCAGGCTTCCCCGGGGGCTCCAGGTCATCCCCTGTCCTTTTGGGGCCTCTCCCGCCTGGCTCCCTGGAACTCATTGGGTTGGGCTCTTTTCCACGGAAATTGTCTCTTCTCCGGCAAGTGAGAAGCCTGAGCCGAAGGGGGACAGGAACTTACTGGAGGCCGTGCAGGGCGACTGCGGCCTGCCCCAGACTCCTTCCTTGCCCACTCTCGCCCACCCTCTGGACATGCCCTCCAGCCATGTCCTGTAAGCTCAGGACAAGGAGCCTCACACAGTCATGAACTGCTTCCATGTGTGGCTGACAGCCCCTGTCCCATCCTCCCTCCGCCCCCAGCCCCAGCTTGCCGGGGCTCTGGCCACTCCTGCACAGTAAGTTTTCTTATCTGTCTCTGTATTCAAGGTACCAGCCTGGGACTTTCTGTCCTCAAATATTTACAGGTGTGTAAGTGTTTGTTGATCTGATTTGATACACAGTGATTGCTGTAAGGCAGTGGTTCTCACGTGGGCGACTCTGCACCTCCAGGGAATGTTTGGTGATGTCGGGAGGCATCTCTGCTTGTTCCAGCTCAGGGGTGCTACTGGCCTCTAGTGGGTGCAGGCCAAGGAGGGGGCAACACACAGGATCCCCACCACAGAATCCGCAGGCCCCAACATCAGCCGCACTGAGGGTGTGGCTGGCCTGAGGATGGCGTCATGGTCACGGCTCCTATACGGCATTCCTAGAGCCCCACCCCTAACCACAGGTTGGGTTCTGACCTCACCCGAAAACTGAGCCCTCACTGTGGTCAGTCTGAACTCTAATCCTGGTTACCTAACAAGCCCTGGTTATGGCCCCACCTTGAGTCATAAGACTAGTCACACCCGGAGCCCTGGCCCTGGCCACTGACTGAGCCCTGATCCTGGTCACAGAATGAACCCTGACTGTGGCCACCCTCTGATTTTTGACCCTGTCATTCACACTTTGGCCATACACCGAATGCAGGCCCTGAGCCTGAACTGAGCCTGCATCTTCCGGCAGTTCTCCTTGCTGGGAAGTTCTGCCACAAGGGGCATGGCTTCCTGTAGACCCTCATGCAGTGGACAGGGGCTGAGAGGCTGATTTGAGTGATAATAAAACTCCGGTCCTCCGGTCAGCTGGCTCTGTGTGAATTAAACTCTTCCTCGATTGCAATTCCCCTGTCTTCATAAATCAGCTCTATCTTGCCAGGGGTCAATATGAACCCAATGGGTGATCACACACTAGTGTATTTTATTCCTTCTCTTCCTCTCTTTCTGATCCCTCCCCAGTGCCAGAATGGACTTGGTCTTTGAGAAGAGGCCCAAGGTTCCCTGAGCAATGGTAGGAGCACCTGGGGGAGGAGCCCCATGCATCTTGGGGATCAGGCCCCAGTTCCATGGCAATCCTCACTGCCCACCAGCACCGCCCAAGTCCTGGGAGACCACGTGATCCCATGTCCCTGAGGTGGTAAGCAGTCACACCAGGGATGGAGCCAGCCTTCCTGGGAGGACTTTGCTGTCCCAGGAAACCCTGCCTCGGGAGCCCCCATCCAGCGGCCCTGGGTTCTAGTCCTGCCATGTGCCTAGTATGCCCCGTGACTCAGCGTCCTCCTCTGAAACACATCTGACTCTAGCGTGCTCAAATTCCTGCCCCACAGAATCCTGTACAATAAAAACGGTTAGTGTGGCTTCAGTGTGACTCACCACTGGCCTCCTTCCTTTGCTCTGCTAGTTGCCTCCCAGGACTCTAGATTTTCCTGTTTGCTCTTGGCCTTCCACCCACCCACCCCACCGCCATGGACCTAAATCAGCTGGGCTTCCTGGAGATCCTGCCTTCCACCTAGTGCAGGGGATGAGGCTGGGGCCAGGGCAGCCGGACCAGGCCCTAGGGCTTCTGGGAGCCGACTTACCTCGCAGGGAGTCCCACCACCACCTTCGGGGAGCCCCACAGAGTCCCATGCTGGAACACACATTCCTGTGTATAAATTTTTTTATTTCATGCAGCATTAATTAAAAAAAATAAAGATAGCATGTCACTTGCAAAGTCATCCTGGTGTCAGTTTGTAGATTCTTTTCTTTGGTAAACGCTGTTGCAGATCAGGAGGAAAACCCGCTGGTGCACATGGGATGGCTGGGGGCACTCAGTGCCAAGCCCCCCATTTGGGTTCTGGAAATTAAGGCCATGACTTGCAAGCTGTGTGTGTGTGATATGTAACTGTGAGGGTTTGTATGTGCAAACCATGTGGGCATGGGAGTGTGTGCTGTGTGAGAGAGGATGCTTGTCTGTGTGTGTGGATCAAATGTGCGAGTGTGTGGCATGTGTGTAAATGCGAGTGAGTGTGGGTGTGTGCACGGGTTGTGTGTTGTGTGAGCAAAAGCATGTGTGTAAATGTGGGTGTGTGTTGGGGCCACCAAGTCCTGAGGGCTGTGCAGCTTGGAGCCCCTCAGAGGCGTTTTCCCCCAAGCCCACCATGGTGGGGCCCACAGGCCCTCCCCATCTCTAACTCTGCCAG